TCAGACTCTCAGCCTGCAGCCAGTGAGTTGAGGAGAACATCTGCTTTAAATCAAGCCTCTCACCCTGACTGAAATACGACCAAATAACAGACCAGCCCAATTGTCTTCATGATGTTTTAATGCACATGTAATTATTCATTTTCCCAAAAGAACATATGATTAAATGTAACCTTTTTAACATTATTGTTTGTGTTTAAAAGAACATATAAAGATCATTTTCCGGTTCATATTAGTATTTTACTACTGTGACGTGTTTGCATGCTTTAATGTTCAAAAAGCTCTTTATGTTTCTCATACTGCTTGTGCTGCAGCACCTCTTTTCACCCTCTGTCTGAAACCAGAGCCCAGTCTGCTCTGATTGGTTAGCTGGCCGGCTCTGTTGTGATTGGTCAACCGCTTAGAGATGTCCCGCCCCTTAGCCTATCACGTACAATCTGTTGGAGCGCTAGCCAATAGAAGCGCGAGTGTTACGTAGTGATTTAACTAAGGGATTGTCTATTAGATTTCGGTAAACTGCAAAACAGAACCAATAATAATAAGAAAGCAAATTACATATAGTCTCATTCAGCCGCTTGTTAGCAACCACTGTTTTTTTAAACTTTGTTTATTGGGTTTTTTCAACAGCATACAGTTATTCTATCAGAGCATGTATCAAAAGTAGGTCAACAAATCTTCACTTTATAGAAAAATAGGTAGAGTAACAACGTAAATACTGCTTAACACCAAGGCCAACACAATCCCACACAGACAGAAGACAAACAGACATACAAAAACAGACAAACAAAAAATGAATAAATAGAAAACCAGTCCGCTTAAACAAAAATGTCAGTACGGCAGCACCTCCTCCCCGCGACAACCCACCCAGTGTTGGGACCAACTCCAAAATGCAAAAGTTTAGTCAGGAATGATTTGGTACTTTATCATTTTAACACCTTTGGACGAGCAACCACTGTTTCTATGACATTTGTCAATTATGCGATTGTTTACCAATTTATTTTAGCTCTTGCTTACCACAAACCTTTTTCAGGCTTCTTTCTGAAAACCCATTCAAGGGAACCGGAAGTGCTTTCATGTTAACTCATTTCTAGTTTGTAGGACTTATTCCTGCAACAAAACAACATCAGACAAGCAAGACACAACATGCTCATTTATACGCGTTGAAGAGAGCCATGGTAAATGTTTTTCCCAGCATAAAGTCTTATCTGGAGCTATCAGCCCTCTGGCTTTTTCTTTATAATTAATCCACAAGCCTGACAGTGATATTTATCTTCTTATAAAACAAAACAAGAAAGCAAATCCTCAATATACTGCTTCGCTTGTTCTTCGCATCGCTCATTTTACTACATCACTTTCAAAAACGTTGACATTCAACATATCTGTGGTTTGTAGAAACGTTAAATGCCATCATGTCTTCATGGCATCTGGCTGATCTGATTCGGATGTGGTTTGAGAAACATTGTATACAGATATTGGTCAGATGTAAATGCGTCAACCACATACATCACGTCTCAGCTCCTCCCAGGTACACCACATCCTCCTGTTGTGTTGTCATTCTCGGTTTTTCCTCCACTCTTATTAGCTGCAGAACATGTAAAATATAGTAAGTGCTAACAGTGGAGGATATACTGCATTGTAGGTGAAAACTGACAGAAGAAATCTTGCATTTGGAGTCCAAACATCTGAATAATCTAACACGTGTTTAGGAATTACTGCTGACTATCCCATTTCTTATATGATACATAGAGAGATGTGTAGATCAATAAATGTAACATCTTATATTAAACCAAGCTTTATGTCTGATACATATCATGGTCGCTCACTCGGCAAACGGCAGATCTTCTAGAGAGTTTTGATTCTTTACAGCGGTTGGTGAGGTGAGGAAAAAGCGCGGAAACTCTGCCAACCTTAAAACCACAAACTTGGCCCAGTCTTCCAAAACTGCTTCGAGGAGAGACAAGTCTCTAATTTGCAATATGATAAATGCTGCTGTGAGCAAATTAACATGAATAAAAAATAACAAAAACTATAATTATAGATACCACCAAAAGTTGCTTGACTGCACCTTTCCTATAACAAAGGGTAAGATCTAATCTGTGATGTAAAACAAAATGGTGACCGATGAAAAGTGGCACTGAACTTTTTCTGTAGTTTCTACACCCACGCTTGTGATTTACTGTCATGTCAGAAGTCCAGGCAGCGGCGTTGTAACTAGATCTTAAAAAAATGTCTTGATAGTTTCCTTTGTGAAAACAGATGACGTTTAATGAAATCAAATGACTCTTCAATGACTTTATCATCTCTGCTGCTCCTCCACTGGTGACTCATGTTAATTTAGAGTAACAAAGGTCAGACTGTGATGATCATATAAAAGTACACTATGATATGTCAGAGTGTTTTTCCAGATGTGTTGTTTTGTCCAGATGTGGAGATTTGTTCTTTTTTTTTTCCTTCTTAAAAATGAGGTGGATTTGAACTAAACCACAAACCCATGATAAAACAATAAGAGTTTACAGCTGCACCGTTGTCTCTTGGTTGCAATCGGTCACACATTTAACCATTTTAAACATGCTAATGTGAGAAAAAGGACAAATTACAGCTGAGTCAGGTGGGAAGGCCATTAGTAGGTATTTGGACATAACCCACATGTTGAATGCAAAAAAAGGATGACCTGATGATGGCCCTAAATTAAAATTGAAGTGATCACCAAAGTCTTAACAATTTGTCCTAAGGGGATCAAGAATTCCTCAACCAAATTTCCGGGCAATCCATCCAACAGTTGTTAATATTGACATGTTTTACTCTGGACTTACTATAGTTCAGTACAAAAATAGACTTGGTATTGCCAAAAATGTGAATCAGACTGAATCTTCAAAGGGTAAACTAGTCTTCCACTCATCTGTTTCCTCCTCTGGTGTTAGGCTCAATGTGTTTTAGCTCGTTTTCAATAATGAAATTCACTTATTGGGGAAAATCTGCTTCTGGAGTGTGGCTGGAGCTTCCTGTTGCAGAGGTAGAGAGCAGGATGGACATATAAAATACACAATTCAGTCAACAGCGTGCCAAGTGTTTTGAGAATGGTGCCAAAAAGAAGTGAAAAGACAGTTAAAGCTTACAAGGTGAAGGAACTATTAGAGTCATAAACCAAAACTAATGATGTCCTCAGGGTTATCTCAGGTTTAGCCAAACATTTGACAATTGAAAAATGCAGTGGATGTGCATTACTCTGTGACCCTCAATGACCCTCTTTTCCTTTTTCTCTTAATCTAAATGTAAAAAAGTACATCACACCTGGAGACGGTGGCAGAACAGAGAGTTGTGGCAGGATGTAGAGAACTATACTTACCTGCTTCCTGTGGATGTACACATAGTGTGTGGGTGTGTGTGTGTGTGTGTGTGTGTGTGTGTGTGTGTGTGTGTGTGTGTGTGTGTGTGTGTGTGTGTGTGTGTGTGTGTGTGTGTGTGTGTGTGTGTGTGTGTGTGTGTGTGTGTGTGTGTGTGTGTGTGTGTGTGTGTGTGTGTGTGTGTGTGTGTGTGTGTGTGTGTGTGTGTGTGTGTGTGTGTGTGTGTGTGTGTGTGTGTGTGTGTGTGTGTGTGTGTGTGTGTGTGTGTGTGTGTGTGTGTGTGTGTGTGTGTTTCAGTTGGACATGAAGAACATCCATTAATAACAGACACAGTTGGGAAAGTTTAACTCACAAGAGCTTCAGCCAAATTCACTTTACATTTCATGTTACGTTACGTTTACCAAAAAAATGTTTATCCATTATCTTAAAATCTTTTTTCTTTTATATTCTATCTCAAAATGAGTCAACCAAAAAAACAATGTTACCTCCTACTCCAGCTGTGTCACCTAAGCAGGTAAACACAGTTATAAATGAAACGTTTTCATCAAGTCACGGAGCTAGCATTAGCTTAATTAGCCACCTAGCTACAGCTGATGACATCACGGCAGTGGTCATTTCAGCTACTTTCAGGCGAGAAACAAGATGCTGCTTTGGTCTGAAATCAAAGGCCCATTGGTTTGACCACATCACTGTTATATGTGGAGTGTGGGAATGGAAACATTGACAGTTTTAGCACATTAACCAAGAGAGGCTAGCGAATAATCCATCAAACGTCATCGTATTCAAAGAATATTATATAATCTTTTTGTCACTACTTAACTTTTCACCTTTTTTATTCTGTTCAGAAACAGGTTTATTTCCAGGTAGGTTTACACGTACGAGGAATTTGACTTGGTGTCGTGGTGCATGAAAACAAGAATTAAAAACACAGGTAGAGAACTAGAAAAATGAAATAATAATAAAAAATATAGTAAAATAAAAATTGCAATGGAATAGAAGGAATACAATATGGAATAAAAATCAGCAGTAATACACAAATATTGTTGTACATTGTGTTTGTTGTACGCTGTTTGGTGCTACCTTACTCTATAATGTATTCATACTGTCGTGGCTTCCTTCCTTGTCTTCCTATCAAGCCACTACACGCCTTAAACAGACAGTTCTAACTCGTTGGACTTTTTCCAATAACTCGTTTTCTTTCCTTTCAATTACTCACAGTTTGAAGAGTTGCTTGGCCTCCGATGGTTTAGAGATGATGTTGCGATGTGTTTGCTCAAAATAAAATGACAAACTTTTGCACATGCAACAAAGAAAAGAGGCCTACAATATTCAAAAGAAATAAGCAAAACTCAAATAAAATAATAAACAACTTAGGTATTCTTTCTTTCTTAATGATGCTTATATAACTTCATAACTTAAAGGGTACTTGGACGATTTGTACGTGTACGGTTAAAAACTGTTCCTCGACGGCGTCTCTCAAACAGGTTGCCCATCACTGTGGCTTTAGCACAGGCGCCTTGGGAATTGTAGTCCTTTATAGTGTGTTGACTACAGACGTCACAATTAGGGTGGCCTTTCTTATAAATCAAAATACTGGCTCTAACACATACCATATTTTCATTAACAGTGCAACATCTCTTCTTCTCCTCTGTGTTGCAGCGTGAGGCAGAAAGACTCAGACGACAGGTAGTGATCCATCCCAACCCGCTGCCTCACATCCACCAGGAGCACGCCGCGCTGCTCTGCATGGGCCTCCTCTTCCTCCTGATTGGACGGATCATCTACCTTCAAGGAAGTGCCAACTACTCTCAGGTTTAACCCCTCGGAAAATCAGCAGACGTAGCATGATGTTTCCTTGTGGGATCCTGATTCCTACCCTCTTTCCTCCAAGGAAGAAGGAGACTTTTGACAGTCGTTATTTAAAAGGAGACGATTGGTTAGTACCTTTAATGAACTCTAATATGCCCGGACTTTCATTTTTTGTCTCTTTGTCTTTGCGATGCCACCAAAGAGCCACGATGTTTTCACTCCTTTCCAGCGCAGATGTCGTCATGCCACCAAAATATGCCTCTCTGCGAGATTACGCCTGTGGAAATTCAAATGTGCCTTTTTAAAGTTTCCTGTTTACTCTTTTAGCTTCTTTTAAGTTTTTTTTTTTTAATGGACAGAGATTATGAATTCCTCAAGTGATCAACTCTGCAGAAGTTGTTAAAGTTTGTGAGTCCAATCTGCAGACTTTTCCCAATCATTCCCCCTGGTTTCAGTCCGGGAAAAATTATCTTGCACTCCTGTCCCATCAGGAACCAACATGCAACATACCAACAACCTCTGTGGAAACCAATTGGGCCAAAGTGATTGTTTTTATACAAACGACCGTGTCATTTTTACGTTTTGTTACCGTGAATTACGTGTCTGCTTATGTCGTATTTCAACCACAGAAATGAATAGTGTCCTGATAATTTGAGTACTGAATGATGAAGGTGTTGACAAGTGTTGAGATCTCATGACATGTGTTTTAAACCCCATTCGGACAGGGCTGAGGTTAGCTGGGTAATACAGCATTCTTGATTGTAAAAAAACGGAACAAAGCGATATTTTCTAGCAAAAATACACATTTGGGACTGAACAATATATAAAAATTACCCATGGTTCCTCAGAAATGAATCCTGTCCGACTGCAGCTTAATACGGCATGTGTGTCATCATTAATAATAAGGGTCCATGTTATTTTGTGTGTCATATTTCAACACCCTGGGTCTGAGTTTTTTGGCTAGCTAATCTGTAATCAGGAATATTATCCCTTCAATGGTACTTTAAAGCGATGCACCATCCTAACGCTCTTTTAAAGAAAGGTGAAAACACATTTCTTTGCATTTCAGACATTTCCCTTTTTTTTATCCATGTGTTTCACGACTACTTAAACATTTTACAATTTACTGTACCTGCCAAAAAAAGTTTTTCCCTGAGTTTTGTTCAGCTTAAACAAACAAAGACATTGGTTTTAGAAAGATAATAACCTTGGCAATAAGCCTTCCTCTCTCTCTGTAACCACTATCGGTCCCTACCTCTCTCATTTCAGAATCCTTTTTATCACCAAATGCAGTCAGTGTGGATGAATTCTTAACAAGTGTCAAAAGCATTACTTTCCAAAATGGTTTCCTTCTGTGCTCTGGTTGTTTTCAGCATTAAAATACAGGATTTGCACGGGAATAAACAAAAGCAGACTGCTTGTTATTACAGTCAATTTATTTGAGTATTTGTTACTTCGCTGCGCAGTTAGAGTGAGACTCAAAGAGTTGGTTAAAGAACAAAATCGTTAATGAAATTAAGTGAATCGTTTAGATCTTTCAACAGTGTAATTTCCCGCAGTCTTGTTTACTTATTGTATACGTTTTTCCAATTGCAATCCATATTTAGAATTTGATACTCTACTGTAGGTAATTTTCTATAATATAGTTAGTGATCAAACAGTACTGTCTTTCTTAGTTTGAGCCTCTGGATTGAACATCAGCAGCCTGACTGAGTGCAGGTGAACGTTTTGGTTTCTTAATAAGGTTATGTGATCCGTTTAGAAGCCCAGAGATTCAGACCTGGAAGAAAACCAAAACTTTAATCCTGCTTAATCAAGAGGTTTGTCAGTTAATAGTTATCTAATAGTAACATATTAAATAGTATACAGGCTTTAGATTAAATACATGTATTCTTATATTTTATAGGTTCTGTTGTCCTGTGAAAAGTAGGCCATTGTTTGTTTTTTTAGTTATTTGCTTTCTAAAATGGTTGTTACCACTTCAGCTGAACCAGAACAATAATTAACAAATGAATCGCCGAGTAGCTTGTGAAATGTGCTTATGCAAAAATATGAAATGTCTGCTCTTTTGTTTGCACACAGCTCTGGATTTCCTCTCATTGGAGGATCATTACATGATTTTTCGGTAAATCTGAACAATGTTAAGTATTTTTGTGCACGAAAAAGACATTCTTAAGCACCTTAAAATAGCATCAGTGCTTTAATTCAGCTTGATGATAGGGAAGCAGCGGCCCTGCTCTTTTTGGAGAGAAGTAAACTAGATAGTAGTAGTAGCCAATTCATCCACATCTTCATCAATGAAGCTATATTTTTTAAACCAAAACACATAGTCTGAAAACACTTCTGATGGTTACAGTGGTTATTTCCTGCTTTCCATCTGGAGACAGTAGTTTTCACATATTGGTGCAACAGAATCAGACAAAATATGAGATTAATACTCATTAAGAAGATTTGCAAACAATATTTTAAGGTTTTTATGAGGGTAAACACTTCCAAAATAAAGACTAGCTGATTAGTTTTAGCAATATTTCCCACTTCAGTCTAAGATCAGTGCACGGCTGCTTCCCTTAGCTCTTCTATTGACACATCTTGGACTTTTTCCAATATGAGGCGACCCATAACCCCCTCTGGTTTTGATCTTCCCATTGAGCTGCACTGTGCATGGATGTAGTGTGAATGTTGACCAAAGAGATTTGTGCAAACCTATTGTTTTCTCTGTCATTTTTAGATGGTACAAATGAACTGTCATCTCATTCTCTGACATACTGTCCGTTGTATTATTACATAAATAACATCTGCTGCAGCGGGGGCTCCAGTCTAAAAATTGAAATGTAGTTTGCTGTTTTGTCAAAGAAGCAGTTTCAAAGATAACTGAGTATAATATTAACCCCACTTAAGTGTTTAAAGCTTCAAATGAGTGTTAGCAGCACTAAAGATACGTTGTTACATGAGTTGGATTAAATCTTCCTAAACAAATTAGATGTTGCCCGTCCCTGCGAGGAATCAGAGCCAAACACAATCGATAACCAAATTCCTCTCCGTCCCTGTTTGAGTCTCGTGTTTGCACAGTTGTGTCAACACGAAATGCATGAAGTGTGATCCTGGCTTTCATCGTCTTCAAACTCTCATTTCAATAACTCTCTCATCCATTTAATCTCATGTTTTAACAGTGTTAAATTAGCGGTTCAGCCACAACGTTTCATTTTCAAACAGTCAGGCTTTCTGTTCTGTAGCTGAAGCATGTCGCATTTGTTATTGCACACATAATACAAGTGTTAAGAAGTGGATAACCTCAACTGAGAAAACTGCTTTGTACAGATTCTTCAAAGTCATCCACTCATGACAGTCTCGCCCTAATTGTGTGTTAAGGTGATTAAACTTTAGTTATCATTCCTATTTAGATGGAACAACTACAAAAAGATGCAAGAAAGTGACCCAAATGGCCACAAAAAGATAGAAACCCATCAAAAGAGAGACACAATAAAGACTCAAATGGATCCCAAAGAGAGAAAAATTTGAACATAAAAAGTCAAAATGACCAGTTTTATGCCATCTCATAATCTGTCTACATCAGTCTTTTAAAATAGTTCAATAATAGCAGCTCTTTTATTGCTATCATTTGATATCAGAATATATACAATTGTTTATTTGACATTCATTCAATCAAAGCCACTTCCGTCCATTTTTCGTCCATTGGTTACCGTTTAAAGCGTGAATCTTAAGCCAAATAAGGTAAATGTATTGCGTTGTGATTATTTACTCTTCCCCACACTGTATGAGACTTGTTTCTGTTTTATTCCCTTCTTATCATGATGCTTTTATTGCTGTAAATGCGTCTCAGGCTCGTCTTCCTATGCATCAAATTTAGCCGCTTTGCTTTTCCTCCGCTGTGACTGCACTTTGAATTCTGATATCGGGCCATGTGAAACCTCAGTTTGAATCACTGTATTACAGCGGGAGTGTGAGAGGAGAGTATGGCAGGGAGGAAACCAAAAGATGAATTACCGTCTTCTGAAACTGATATGGAAACCTGGTGATGTGTTGAATCACTGCCTGTCTTTTGAAGGTGTTACAGCTCAGATGCTTTTCACGGTTTTACTGACTGACATTGACACTGGCCGCTTCTGCAAATCACGCTTTGAGCTTTTAGGATTTATAGACCAGCAGAAGTCTTTTATCTATAGACATTTATATGCACTATTTCTTTGTTTATAATTATAATTAAATGTACAGTATGGAAAATAGGGAATCCAGGGGTACTGTGGTGTGAAACGCTTAACTGAAAATGCTGTACAGAAATGCATCTGTTGGAGAGTGTTTATGCAGAAATGTACAAATCTGAATGACTCCAAATGACCCAGTACATCTGTAGCAACGTGTGTTTTTCATAGTGTTATTTACACTGAAAATATTGTAATAATGTTTTTTTAATTGCTTCCAATGTATTGAACTGTAAATAAAGGACTTTGTAAAGCAGGAGTGATGTAGGAAATGCTTTTTTTTCAACCTAAATATTAACGATTCAGTAGCTGGAAGTAAGACGTTTTACTGAAGTTTTAAAATACAATTTGTATATACTTATATACAATGTATACTTGATATACTACACTTTATTGAGTATGCCACTTTGTACTGTATTGTACTATATTGTTACTCACTACAAGATCCATCACAAACAGCTAGTTTTTCATTGTTAATAATAATTAAATATAAATAAAAATGGTTTAACTTTAAAATGCGGGTTCACCTGCCTTCAAATAAAGGTTAGCTGAACGTGAGAAAACTAAGTAAAGGCACTTAAAATAGTAAGTTTAGTCAACTACTAAGATAAATAATAAAATAAAAACTACAGGTAGGGGAAAACCCCCCAAAACATAATTAGGCCTAAAAAATATGTTGAAACAAAAATGTATTTATGCGTTTAAAGAAAAATAAATTATGCATTTAAAGCTTATTTATTAAATCTGTGCATGGCCAACCAGCTTCCTCACAGTTAAGTGACAGGTCATTGAACTTTGTTGGCATAAAAGTTAATTTAGGTGAAATGAGGACAGTTTCTTTTTTCATTTGAATAACACTGTCTGAGGCGGATCCTTGTTTTTGTGTGTGTGTGTGTGTGTGTGTGTGTGTGTGTGTGTGTGTGTGTGTGTGTGTGTGTGTGTGTGTGTGTGTGTGTGTGTGTGTGTGTGTGTGTGTGTGTGTGTGTGTGTGTGTGTGTGTGTGTGTGTGTGTGTGTGTGTGTGTGTGTGTGTGTGTGTGTGTGTGTGTGTGTGTGTGTGTGTGTGTGTGTGTGTGTGTGTGTGTGTGTGTGTGTGTGTGTGTGTGTGTGTGTCTGCTCGTCTGTAGGACACGGAAAGTACGGTGCCTTCCACAGCTTGGCAAGAACACATGCTCAGATAATTATATGTCTCGTGCGTACACACAGACACACAGACACAACTCATTAACACACATGCAGACAAATCATCACACGCATACATGACTCCTACACACACACACACACACACACACACACACACACACACACACACACACACACACACACACACACACACACACACCTACACACTCAATCACATGTGTATGAGTCAGCAGTAGTCTGGCAGGGTTTTGCTTCCTGAGACAGAGGTAGCAGATCAACCCTTTGTGAGAGTGAGAAAACATTATTTCCAAATGAAATAAAATTGCATTCTTATTTTCTGGCACAGCAAACAGATCTGATTTGTAAAAGTTACGCTGCAGTACTTCAACTGTAAAATCAACCCTCCATTAAGCATGGATAATTAGTATATGAACATGTTAATAATGTTTATAATACACTATAATGTAGTTGTAAGCAGCTATGAGGCTATTTTAAGTGTTCTCTAATGTATAGTATGTATAGTATGTATCAACAATTATGCTTCTCACATTCTTTAATGCTTTTATATGCTTTAGCAAAATGACTGTATGGCTGCCCTTAGTTTTGAGTTAATACAAATCAAGTGGCATGAAGTTAAGAACCACAGCAGCACAATAAGGAGAAAGTTAAACATATGACTTCATTTAATCATATACCTTTTGATGAAGTGAAGTTAATATCTACTAGCCAATATCCACTGTACTCATAGTAGGAACGTAATGAGCGAAATATAAGCCAGATCAATGCTTATTATTTAATATACTGCAAGATTTCACACAATATAGCAACTGTATTTTATTATCCTATGACATATTTTATATCATTGCTGCTTTTCACTTATTGTCATTGATTATCTGTTCATACACCAGTGTCTTTTTATTAACCACAGGAAGTTTGTTATGTGCTTACAACTACATTATAGTGGATTGTAAAGATTTTACAACATGATTATTAACAAATTATTAAAGCTTAATCAAGCGGTTAGAGTACAGTGTCACTTCTTCTTCTCTACTTCAGTGTCACTGTGCAGTTTTTGTCATTGATCTCATTTATCTCTGGTAGATCAGTGAGTAACCGATTCAGTGTGAGAGCAGTTAGAAGTCCTGCCTGCGGTTTAACAGTAAAACTAAGGCCATGATTACACAGGAAACACTTGAAATCATGGCTGCACTTTGTGGTTTTCAATGGTTTGGTTGCTACCAACACCTGTCTCCTCCAAACTAGCAGTAGAACACAGCAGGAAACAGGTGTGTGCACATTATTTCCCGACTAACTTTTTCCTCTCAACTTCTCTCTGTCAGTCTCCCCCCCCCTCCCCCCCCTCTTCACACACACTCAGCCGGGTGTGTGTGTTTAGTGAGTTGGCGCCAAAAGAGAGAGAAAGAGAGAGAGGGAGCTGGCAAGTATTTAGACCACTTAAATGTCCATTTTCACACGGATAAATCAGGAGCTAATAAGAGGTCCTTTGGTGTTATATAGGTTTGTGTGCATTTAAATGATCTGAAAAAGGCTACGTCTCAAAGTTTCCTCCAGAGGGAGTTTCTCTCCCACACACTGACCCCCCCCTGAAACGCCTCCATTGGACTCCTTTGTTTACTAACCAATCAGAGAAGACTGGGCTCTGGTTTCAGACAGAGGGTGAAAAGAGGTGCGGCAGAACAGGCAGTATGAGAAACATAAAGAGCTTTTTCAACATTAAAGCATGTCTGATTTGGCTTCCCTCAGTTACACACTCTGATCTGAGATTTGGTAAACACAGAGTGATAACATTAGTCAAACTGAAGGTTAAGTTTGTAAAACTAAAGCTATCTAAGTTGTGTAGCTCTTAACATGCTAGCTGTGTAATATCTCATGTTAGCTAAATATAGCATATTACATTAGACACTTGGTAGACAGGAAAATTAAAACTGTTTCATACCACTGGCGCCTCTCATAATGCGTTAACTTAAGTTTATAATCAGATAAGGGGGCTGTATATTCTAATACATACGAGAGGGTACACATAGTCTTTCCTTAGTGTGTAGACACTCTCAATAAACCCAAATCTATGTAAACGATGCACTGAAAAGCAGAGGTGGGAAGTAGTGGAGTACAAATACTTTGTTACTGTCTTAAGTACATTTTCCTGGTATCAGTACTTTATTCCACTACTTATTTTTCTGATGACTTTTTACTTTTACTTACAAATACCTGTACTTTCTACTTCTTACATTTTGAACACAAATACCTGAACTTTCTACTTCTTACATTTTGAACGCAAATACCTGTAGGTTACTTTCTACTTCTTACATTTTCCAAACAGGCTGGTTCCTTTAGTTTGAATGTGTGTTTGGTGGCGTGATCATTATTATTTAGAGTCATTGCGTGCCTATTGATTTTAACACGATCTGTGTATCCATCATTTCCTGGTCTTCTCTAAAGAAGAGGGACCAATGAAAACGTTGTCATGTTGCCATTGTTCATCATGGAAACATTCATTAGCTAACAATGACATTATTGTTCTATTAATATAAAGGGAGGTCAGGTACTCTTTAAAACAGCTGGTAGTTATGGGTAGTTTTTACTTAAGTACATTTCAAAGCACATACTTCTTTACTTTTACTTGAGTAAAGAAGTTTAGTCAGTACTTCTACTTTTACCAGAGTATTTTTAAACACGAGTATCATGTACTTCTACTTGAGTAAAGGATGTGAGTACTTTTGCCATCTCTGCTGAAAAGTGGGTTTTTCATGAACCTGTTTGACCCCTTTAAACACACACGCACCACATAGGTACAAATGCAAATGGACACACCTCAATGTACAGTACTCATACATAAGTGTTCCTAGACATCATAATAATATGCTAAGTAACATTCACACACGCATAGTCATCACACAATGATAGCTTTTATAAAATACCAAAGTCAGTCCAGTAAGAGTTGATGCGCCCCTGATCAGGATTAGAAACCTCCCACACACTCACGCTCATTTCCCTGTCGTACAGTCCGACTGTGATAACGCCTGACACAACAGATAGTATCTTCTTCTGGATATTACTCTCCACAAAGCTATCAGATATCTCCTGTTTACTCTCTGTGTGTTGACAACCAAATATTGAAAAGCGGATGTTATGAAAGGATTATAGGCGTGCAAAATAGATGTTGGGTTTTAGGCAACATTTAAATACAATGTTTTAATTTAAAGGTGGGGAATAGACAGTCATATCTGCTGACATCCCAGGAAATCAAGGATCAACGTATTTGTAGGCAGCAGTGGTGAGGTACTGTACAATTTGTTCAGTACAATTTAATTAACTTGAATTGTAGTTTAGTTTAGTTTTTCATTTGTATTTATAGTAAAGCATTGTTCAACAATTAAAAATGTGAAAGTAATGACCCCCACATCTACCACAGAAATATTATACACAACTTTTTACCACAATTATGATAAAACATAGCTACAATAGTGCTTTATATTACTATACCATTCTATACTATACTGTACTATACTATACTACACTTTACTATGCTGTACTATTCTATACTATACTATGCTGTAGGAAGAAAGGTAGGAAAGGTAAAGAAAGAGAAACAAGAGATAATGTATTACGAGGTACTGTTGTCCATAAAGTTGGAATTATTTTGTTTTCAGTCACATTCCTCTTTTTATTCCTATTTTATTTTCACTGTAATATGTTTGGAAGAGATTGATCAATACAGTTCTGAGAAGATATACACTTTATCTATGAAGAATAAATCACAATAATTTCATTAGTAGAGGCCAATTTCCCATAGTTCATTGCCATGTCATAAACTGTGAACACTATAGTGCATACATTTGAACTGGGTAGTGTTGTATTCAATCTCAAACTGCTGTAATGCTTCTCATAGGAAGTGACAGTGGCCAAATAGCAAACTCACTAGCTAGCAATGTTATTGTTTGCGGTACTAAATCAATACAAACCACTTATGTAACACAATATAATGTGACAGTGGTATGGTCATGCGTTTATCAAGTAGGGAAAAAACCATAATGTTTAACTCTTATTTGCATATGATGACGTGTCCAGCGTTCCTGAGCTTTATAAGGGCCCTCTC